CGTTGGTGTCCGTGGTCTTTTGCATTTTTTTTAAAAAATAATAAATAATACGCCAAACGTGGCTTTTCTTCATCTCCATGGAGATGCAATAATGGAGGAAGCACACTCAAACACTACAACCTAACCAAATCACATATGATCATTCATATTGATCATATACACCAATAATAACCCACGTATCACGTGGTTATTCCAAAAAAAAAAAAAAGATTAAATAAATAAAATAGAAATTTCAAAGAGCAATACTATTGCATAGCGGAAGCAAATTTATGAATCCCACCGGTGGGTTTAATATTCTAATCCACCGGCAGGGGGAGTATTTGTGTGAACGGTCCCAAGATTTAACCTGCTCTTGATACCATGACAAATTATTTGTCTGATACCATGATAAACGGGCCTAGGCCACACCCGTCACAATTGTCCACTTTATACGACCAAGGAGGTTCCACCTCAAAACCATATGGCAATGAGGGGAGTAGCCCCTTAGTCTTATAAAGTGGACACGACTTTCTCTTTTTCTTCAATGTGGGATACACATCCCAATATTTCTCTTCACTTTTATATTCTTTCAATGTGGGACAACACTTTCACTCACATATGGGTTTCTCATGGGCTCAACACTCCCCCTCACATGTGAGTTGTCCATAATACTGGCCCAGATCACAACACAACCCAACTTGGCTCTGATACCATGCTAAATTATTTATGAGAGAATAGCTTGAATTGTATTGATGATCTTGACTATTATTTATAGCCTACAAAAGATAACCTACACAATATAAACTCTATCATATAAACTTCCATAAATCTATCTTAGAATATCACTAAGATATATTATTATCCTAAATATAATATTATGAGATCTATATGGAAAATATATCAGAATAATATATTTTCCTATATTCCTAACATATATTCTCTCTACATATCAACTGAATTTTGTAAATGATAGTAAAAAATACATAGATAAAGTATTTTTTAACAATGCCACATTCATTATTAATTTTGTTTAACTAATCAATTAGACTTTTCTTAAACTATAAAATGACCAATAATTAATATTTTGTTTAATTAATCAATTCTTCCAGTGCAAGCTAAGAATTGAGAGATTAATATTTAACTTCTAATGTCATGTGGTGCAACCCACAACTATTTGAGTATTTGACTCAATCAAATGATTTTTCAAATTCATCATTATGTACGCGGAACATTATGTAATGAAAAATTTAGTGTTTTTTTTTTTTTGATGTCTTTGTAAGCATCCTATTTCTTGACACCCGCAACGGCTGCAAGTACGCATGACATGAACTGATTGCAACCCGACTAGATTAGGACACAAAAGTTGAACTAAATAACTTATCACCTATTATCCAAATAAAACTTTAGTATAAATGATCCAGTTTCACTTTAAGGGTAATATAATCATGTGCAATTTTGTTAAGTTTGTCATTGATTTACATGTTCAAACTATTATTCTTATTTTTTAAAAATTTATATGTTTATAATTGATGATCAACGTTGTGCATAAAAAAATTGTAACCTAAAATATAAGGAGGCATTATTTTACAATCTAAACACAATGATCGCAAATTTAAGATTATTTGTACATATTTTGTATACTTATCGCACTCATTTTTCTAACGCAGTTAGTACTAGTCTTGTAACCCTACAAATTATGATCAATCTTTCGAAGTCTAAGTCAACGAGCAATATTCTTTAAAGCAAATTGACCAATGAAAGCCTAGTCGCCTAGATGCCGGCTCATATATATATATAGTCGTTCTATGTACTATACAAAGTAAATTTATATAGGTAGTTTCATAGAATTAACATTAGGAAAAATTATTTTTAGGAGTCTTAGTTTTTGTACATTCTCGAAGGTACTAACGTAGGATTAGTTCAATTCCTAGTAAAATTCCAACTTTACTATATCTTCAATATATTGTATATATACATATATATTCTTTGGCTCATGTCATAAAATTTCCCATAACAAAAGTCAAAGACAAGCTTAGCTTGTCTAATAGTCTAAAGAAAATTAATTATGTCTATTAAAGAAGCCATTGATCCCGGTGAAGAAGACGACAAACGGGTCGATTCAAGGGAAGATACGTTGATGAAACGTCGTAGGAAGATTAATGGCTCCTCTTCCTCAAGCACTTCTTTTAGGGAGATCTCGACTAACTTCAAAAATGGAAGATTACCGCCTTTTAACTCGATCGATGCAAGGAGGTTTAAGGAGGATATAAAGAGATGGGCGAGAGATGTTGTGAGATATGCTAACCAATGTAGTAAGACTTGTTCTTGTGATCAACACAAGGGTGGTTTTGGGGAACATTGATTCAATGCAAAACTAGGAAAATGGGGCAATTAGGTTGACTTGAGGGTTGCATTATGTACATGGTTATAAATTTATAGCTATTCTTTTATTTTGTCATTTTGATCAAAGAATTTTGGCATGTTTATATGAATTTTTCTAAGTTTGAGTTTTGTACAAAATTTAATTGGGTTAACTTCTTTTGAGATATTGTTGGGTTCTGTCTCGTCTTCCCGTCCCAGGTTTAGAAGGAAATATGCCACTTTGCAGAATAGGTCTCCAGCATGTTTTACTAACTCTTTGTTTTGCAGGTTAAGTGGCTCTAAACGAATAACATCATGTCCCACCGAGTACACTTGGTTTCCTAAACGTAAGAAGTCATATGGTCCAACCCCCAATGTTCTACCGTGTAATTCTGCTTTCTTTACTTAGTTTAGGTTGTATTCATGCTTTTCATTAATAGTATCTTTGTCAAAAAAAAAAAAAAAAAAAAAAAATTCTTTTGAGAGATTGTAAATGGTTTGAAACAATTGTATATACATACATGAAATAAACAAATTTTGAAAATGCTATATGTCTAATTAGCATGTCTTATTTGAAAACCATGTTTACATTGATATTCCTTAAAATCCAACATTGGAGGCTAGCTAGTGTATTAGCTTTTTTTTTTTTTTTTTTTTTTTTTTGAAAACCTAGTGTATTAGCTTTTCCATTGCTAATACTTCCTTCGTTTATGAAAGTTCTCGCTTTTTATTTTGAGTAATTTTAAAAAGTTCGATTCACTTTTACTTAACTTTAATTTATTTCTTTTTGTAAACCTAATTTACTATTAATACTATACCTTTTACACTTTTTCTAACCTTATCCGCACTTTTTTTTTTATTTTTTTTTATTTTTTTTACATGCATCCACCTTTTAACCTTTTTTTTTTTTTTTTTTTTTTTTTTTTTTTTTTTTTTTTACGCCTACTCAGATTTACATGCATTCTTAGAAACAAAAGTTTACATTAAACGAGCCAAACATTCAAGAATGAAAGGAATTTCTTGTTGTAAGTTATCTATCCCAAATGATACAAGTGTTATGTTCAGGGATGTGGTTGGAGACGAGGCTTGATTGTGTGCTCATAACACCATGCACATGATTGTAGGGTTATAAAGCACGAACACACCATATATCTATGTATAACCTTAACTTAGGTGACATATATCCAAACCACCACCTCATAATTTTGTAAAGTTGATAAATGGAATGAGATTACCAACAATTATCTTATATACAGAAAAAAAATGTTAAATCTACATTACTTGAAAGTAGGGGGAAAGAGTAAGGATCCTCTAACCTGAAATTTTTTTTATGGAGGCGGATGCATGATGCTCCATGCATCCGTTTTCTCTTTGAAAACGTGGAATGAACATTCCGTTGTTCAGTAAAGAACATACATTTGTTTTGTAAAGAACAAATATCTTTTTCATAAAGAACATCACATATACCTGTATTGTAATGAACATATAGTTGTTTTATAAAGAACATATACCTATTTTGTAAAAAAAAACATCCAACTTCATGTTCTTTATATATATCTAAAGAACATCCGTAATATTAATTAAAAAATGATAATTAGAGGTGATCAATTTCGGCTCGACCCAATCCGGCCCAGCCCGAAAATAGGGCGGGTTTAGACAAGCCTAAAAATTTAAATGAATTTTTAGTTAAAAAATCCAAACTCGGCCCGAAAAAAAGTCGAAAATCCAAATTAGAGTTGTATTGTAATGAACATATAGTTGTTTTATAAAGAACATATACCTATTTTGTAAAAAAAACATCCAACTTCACGTTCTTTATATATATCTAAAGAACATCCGTAATATTAATTAAAAACATGATAATTAGAGGTGATCAAGTTCGGCCCGACTAGACCCGACCCGATCTAACCCGAAAATAGGGCGGGTTTAGACAAGCCTAAAATTGCATTTTTAGCTAAAAAAAATCCAAAACTTGGCCCGAAAAAAAGCCGAAAAGCCCACTACATTTTCCGGGTTTTTTGGACACGAGATATTATGTTATAGCCTAGCCCGACCCGAATTTTTTATCACCTTTAATGATAATATAATGTAATGAACATTATTTTTATTCAACCACCATAATCTAAAGACAAAATTCAAAGAACATTTCAAAATAAACAATTAACATATGTCACAAATAAAAGTACATTATTCTGACAATCAAAGAACATGAAGGTAAAGAACATTATTTAACTAAACGTTATGTTCTTTACAATTTTATAACGTGTCCTTTGCACTTTAACGGAATATTCTTTACATTTCTATACAATGTTCTTTACAATTCTATAATATGTTCTTTACAATTCTATAATATGTTCTTTTCACTTAAACTAAATGTTATTTATATTTCTATGCAATGTTCTTTCCGCCTTTTTTTAGAAGAGATGCACCATGTGGATCGTGCATCCGCCTGCACGAACCATGCATTGCCTCTAACCCAAGCATCGTTCAAAGATTTAACCTTGCGAGTTGTGACCTTAAGGTTACAAGGAAAATTCCAAACCACCACCTACGTGTGTTAACTGTTATTGCAATATTCTTCCAAAATATTTAAATCAAATAGACGAGAAAAACTGCATATTGGTTCTAGTCATCAAAGCAACGAGCAACAAAACAAAATCTGGAAGAAATTCTAAGTTTTCGGCTTTACTGTAAATTCTGTTCTTTTCTCTTTGAGATTAAAAGAACCCGTGAGCATCCACTACCCACCTATAGTCCTGTACAACTTGAAGCAAGTACAGTTTCAAGCAAAAGACTGGGCAGAAAGATAACAAGAATCAAAAGATGACACACTGATATAGGGCACAGACGGCAATGGCATTTCTGTATAACTATATGTACCATCTACAAGGCATCCTACAAAACTTTTATATACCAATGTACAAGGCGAGCATTTTTGGTGTCAGTTCGTTATTTCTGCAGGGTTCAACATCTTTTCTCCACCAGAAATGGTCCTCAAGAGTTCTCTAGACACATCTTGAGTATGTGTTGCATTCTTCACACGGCTCGCTCTAACCCATGCAGGCTCCTGCGAAATAGGAATTGCACGTTTATGTACTCATTATCTACACAAGCACTTTCCTGTTTTTTTTTTTTTTTCCAGGAATAGTACAAGACCACCATAGGTTTACCTCAGGGACAAAGCGAGAAAAGCCAAACTTTATAATTAGGAGGATATGCTCCATGACCAAAATTGCTGCAAGCCCTGGCTCTAATTTCCATTTCCCTTCCTCATCATATAAACAAACCAAAAGTGCACAGTTGGTGCATATTGACATCACTATTAGAAACTGAAATTCAGAAAACATTAACCATATCAAATCAGTAATGTAGTTTACTTATAAATGGAGAACAAAAAATATTCAACATAAATGCTGACTGCTGAGAATCATACTATATTTTGCAACATCTTTCTAGGATATTACTAAAAATTTATGCATTGGAATTGTAATGGTTAATACCAAAAATCATGTTAAAGGGGATGCATAATTGCAGTAAGCACAAAAAAGATTGACAAATTTGAAAGCTTGCCTGAAATATATTCAACCATGCTCCAATTGTAGCAGCAGCACGAGGAACAGGCCTTTTATGCATGACAAGCAATTTTAGAGCATCTGTCCTGATTTCCATAATGTTGTTCTGCACCAACATCTAGTTATAGATTTTTACTTGGTGCCTCAAACTAGGATTGATAGAAAACTCCAATATAAACTACTCACCACAACAGCAAAAGCAAAAGTGAGGGGAAATGCACTTGCAAACATCATAATCATTCCAAACTGCAGAGCCAACTCCAGAAAATCTGCATATAGTTTACAGTTTGACAGTAAAGTTTCTTCGGATGCATCAAAAGCTACATTACTAAGCCATTCAAAAACAAATAAAGTAAGCTTGTAATAACAAAATTACGAGTATTACCATCAAACAGTCCATCTTCAAGTTCTCCTCCAATGCTGGCAGAGTAAGCAGATTTCAGATACTCTTTCTCTACTCTCGAATTCACTTTTACCTTCCCAATTGATGACCCCTTATCATGCTTCTTCTTGAGCCTTGATAATTGGTAAATGCGTTAACAAACATAAAGGTGATCTAACAGCTACACTAACTTGTATTACTTTCAATTAAATGTAAAGATGGTGCAAATAAAAACAAAAGGATAATAAAGCTCACCTAACAGCTCCAAACTTTTTATAGCTGTATTTAAGGTAGGGCAGAGAATTTTCAAGCAAGTTCTCAAAAACCTACAAACATGTTACACATCACAGTTACAATCACAATTTTAAGTGGAAGTAGAATCTGATATTTGTTCAATAAAAACCATGTCAACCTCAGAGACGATCAGACGCTGGATTAAAACTTTGCGAAGTGTCATAATATTGCGGTGGAGCAAAGCATGATAGAAAACTCCAATATATGTCTGCATAAAATAAAGCCCAAACAGCTGCAAAGAAATGTTAACAAAGGAAATTTGCTTTAGTAGTCACCTTCAAAATTAAGCAAATAAACAAACTTTAGGTATCTGTTCCCATTCCTCACCTTGTATATTAAGCTGTCTGCTTGATACTCTTCATTGTCAATGTTTTCATTTTTAATGAGATCAGCAGAAATTTTCCCTCCAAATCGCGTAAAATATTGAATAAGAAGTAGGTAAACAGCCGTCAGCCCAAACCTATCAAATTAACCAGAAAAGTTGATTATATGTTATTATTCTATTTTTGTAGCAACAATGCTGCTACTAGTAGTTAATAATATCTCCACCTCAAGGAATAAAATTTCTCTATTAATAGAGAAATGCTCTATCATCAAGGTTAAACAATAGATAATTACATAATCATTGTAATGCAGGACTTTGATAAATATTATATAATGCGGAAGCGGAAAGACAGTGAGAAATCTTTATCAAAATTTGAACATGGAATAATGATATGGCTTTTGTTACTACATGAAGTGCAATAAATCATGTTACAGTATAATTAAAGCATCCAATAATATGCACACATACTTCAAGTAAATATATACAGTATATAATAGTTTAATTAATCAGCAAAAATAGACAGGAGGTAGCAGCAATACGTTTACATTTTAAGTTTTTATTTATTTATTTATTTTTATTTACTTTTTGGTGCCCCCTTTTGGCAACTAACTATAATAATTAGAAAGTAACTGCTTCTAGCTTTCTGTACATATGACATATGTCTTCCTTTTGAATTTTTTTCGGAAAATTCAGTTAAAAATACTGATCATATTAATCAGCTACTAGTATTTCCACATTGATAAAAAAAAAATTCCATTGTCAAAATAAATCTTTTTCTAACCATAAATAAACTTCTTATTAGGCTTGGGCACTCATATTTTGTATAATGAGGGAGTATGAGCTTTAACGGAGATACGTGTAGAAGTAAAACCATTTCAAATTGAAGTCATAATGTCATTCTTGATATAGCCCAAGAGAGTAAATGAGTAATAGATCAAAGTATGTCCATGATTATACTGCCTCTAAGGAAGAGTTTTGGCAAGGAGTGGAACCACCTTGCTTAATACTTCGTAGTATTTGGGCCTTCGTAACGAGCAAAGGACTTCTTTTGGGCTAGGTATAAGGCCAGGTAGCAATCTCATTAAAACACCATTTGTTCTAGAAGAGACTATGAAGGTAAGAGATTGTGTTTGTGTGGGTGAGAGGGATCTAGACAGCCTTTAATTTACTTGCCACCCACTTAAGATCATGACAAATAAAATTAAAAACCTTAATGCCTTGTTCTCGCTTCCTTTCCCACAGCACTTCTCTTTTTCTAGGGCACATGCAGCAAATATTGGAGCCCTTAATTTGAACTTGAACCTTAAGCAGTTATGGAAAAGCATCAAGCTTCCAAAATGGATCCCTTGGAGGGATAGGGTGCTCCATTGAGGCTTGCTCAAGTATTGTCAAATCTATCCAAATTCCTATTGCCCTAATTGCCCCCTCGTCATCATACAAGAATTAATCCATGCCATCCTAGCCATAGATTTTGATTTATCTGAATCTCTTGTCTATCCAGCTATTCCACAAGACCTTCGTAAGGCGATTTGGTAGAGAATGTTTTAACTAGTACCCACATTGTTAAAGGACTTAAATGGAGTATTTAGTTCCACTTTCTTTGTTTATAAAACCAGAAACACTACAATCATATCATAAAGCGGATTATCAGGAATCACCTAACCATATCCTCCACAAAGCAAATTGCCTAAGGTTGAAATTTCTATTCTCCAATGCCTTGTACCTCCCTCTAATTCTAATTCTTCCAAACACTCCCGTTGAATAGGATTTTCCACCCTATGGTTGGTTTATGGTATATGTTAACACTTCCTTCGTTAATGCCAAGTGGTTTATCCAGAAGGTCTGTAGTTGGTGTAGAGGCTTCCAGAAACAAAGTTATTCTATTAATCGCCTTCTTGCAGATCTTATGAGAATATGTGAAGGCCTCAACAAGATCAAAAGAGAAGATATAGAGAGAATGATCATTTCTTTAGATTGCAAGTAAGCAATAGATTTTCTTCATGTTCATGATTCTACCCCTGATTCATAGTCTAATGAGCTTAATGATTGTAGGAGCTGGGTTAAACAATTGGAAGGTAAAATTCATGTATACTAGACATGACTTGAACAAGCGTGTAAGTGGACAAGCAAGAAAGTGTTGAAGTTTAGATATTTGCAAGAACATAACTAATTTTTCTTCCAATCCCCCTTATTGTTTATATGGATGTCTTAAATTCGGATTCTTATTCCAAAATTTCATTTAGCAATAATTATTCTATACTGTCTATACAATTGCAATCAAGGGTCTAATGAAAACAATTTATCAACAATTTCAGGGGTAGAGGTGTGTAAATGCGAACCCCTCATCCAGTCCCACATGAGAGTGAGATACAATGGTAATGTTATGCTATATGAAATGGTTTTACTTGATACAACACACATACTCGTTATAATATTATTTGTACTCAGTGAATTCACACACAGCAGAAAACCCACGTCACTCTTTTGCTAAACTGGAATAATCCTTAAACATGCAATTGTTCTAGTTTCCACATCCAATTGGAATTTATAGCTAATGCTTCTATTAATAAACTACCACCGTCTTTAAAAAAGTAAAAAATATTCGCCTTTCCTTTGCAAGATCTCCCAACAATAATATCCATTAACAGAAAGTAGCATAAATATGCCTACTGTAGTTTATTCTACTTCCTACAGCACCCTTTCTTTTCCACAATACTAAGTAAAGTGGGGTATACTTTGGGCATAATTTGCATTACTGCATGAGATAAAAAAGTGACAGATCCATTTCATTTTTTAGAAGTTTGTAAAAAGTCGAGGTGGAGTAATTTTTTTTTTTAATGATACGGTAGCGATGCCATTCCTATTGAGGTTTAAAGATGTTTGGGAGAGAGAGGAATTGAATGTTTGATAATATTCTTCACGATAAAACGAATTGAATGGTAAACAACATTCTTCAACAAGATTTGGGGCATGCCAATAGAATGGAGGAAAAATAATCCCTTGGTATAAGAATAAAAGCAGGTTAGTTGAAGTACAGGATTTTAATTGTGATCCTGGCATGCCCTATAGATTAAAGGTAAAAATACAACGCATAAAATTAGGCTTAAAATATTATATAGTATTGAAATGTTAGGTTGTGAATCATTGTCATGTTTATAAGATGAATGTGGAGAAAATGCGTGCTCTGTTGGATGTGTGGCCATATAAAAAAGAATTGTATGAAAAATGAGATAATTTGAGGAGTAGGGGTCAGCAGGGAAAATGGCTTAAGGTAGTTTGCCCATGTAAGAAAGAAATTGAGTGAGGCTTTGGTAAAGAAGGTTGAAAGTGGCAAAGGGATGGGATCGTGAGAGGTAGGGGAAAAGACCTAGGAAAATAAGGAGGGTGATTAGAAAGTGATATGCGTCTTTTGGGGATTAAGGAACTAGCGTTGAATAGGATAAAATGGAGAGGAGAAAATCTAAGCTGAGACTTGTCATTAAATTAAATAAATCTCCATTTTTTTAGATGCATCACTTTTGATATTATGGACTCCTAGACCATTTGGAGTAGAGAGAGATAGAGAGAAAAAATTACGAGGGTCCATGTGATATGAGAGAGAGAGAGAGAGAGAATTTATTAGTTAAAAAGGAAACTGATGCATCCAAATTGAACAATAAAAGAGTAAATATATATACTCTTTTTTCCTTTTACCTAATCTCATTGTGTTTTGCAAAATCTTCTTATTTTCCTTAAGGATTTCTCATACGCAGGTTTTCCCTCTCTCCATGGCCTTTTTTTTTTCCAAAGCCTTTCTCAGATTTTATTTTTAAATCCTCTTGTTGAGTTTTCAGTTTACCCTGCTTCCGTTCTTGCTCGCTTTCACTTTATCACTTTTCATTCTTTATTCCATTTTTTTGCGAACGGTTCTTTATGTTGATTCATGTTAGTAAACCCCAAATCATTTTGGGATTAAGACTCTGTGGTGGTTGTTGAAACAAAGTAGTAACATATTAGCATACCAATTCAAGACTTACAAAGAAGTTCTAATTTGCAGTCCATTATTTAAAGCATAGACAAAGAAAGCTTACTTTATGATGTCTGATCCAATTTTTTCATAGAGATGAGCATACGCTAGCTCAAAAGGCAACTGAAGACAAATAATGCTCAATATAATGACTGTATCGTTTCTGATCCTCTTTAGACGTCCTAACCATTCATCTCTTTGGTATGCTGCTTTCCCTTTGACATTATCAGCCTCCAACTTTTTTGTGAATTCCAGAGGATGCTTCCTAGAGTTTAGATCCATTCCAAATATCTTATATCCAGGTCCTGTTCCAACTGTGTAACTGATGTTCCATCTGCATCAAAGAGCTGGTTAAGACATAATGCTCCTGATATCTTTAATTGAAAAGTAAACAATGATGCTTTTGTTAATGAAGAAAATTACCTGGTTATGAGGGCATAATTTTTGCGTTTCCAGAACTGGAAGAAGAACACAGCCCATGATATGATACTTATGAAAAACACCGGAAGAGCCAGAAATTGTAGTGATCTAGAGAATAAACAGCAGTCAATGGAAAATTGCAAGCTATGTGGAAGATTGAGGAGCTTAATAATTTGACAGAAGTCTAAGATAGGAGAGTAGGCGCCTACCCAAAGTCAACTAAATGCAATACAATCCCTAATGCCGCAGGAAAGAGTAACCACCGAGTATACATTCCAAGAAAGGCAAAATATATTGCTATCTGCAAATTGTAAGTTGCCTGAGTAAATATTAGCCGATGAAAACATGGAAGTAGATCACAGAATTCAATGTATCATTTCAACTTGCCTTGGTTCCAAAGTATAGGTATATATCATCAATTGGCTGCCTTGTAATGTCCCAAAAGTTTAGTGCCCAACTCCTTAGCATCTCCTTCTTTTTCTGTTCATCTGTTATCATAAAGTTCAGTTTATACTCTACTGGAAACGCAGAAAGTCAGCAATAATTAGGATTTCTCATACCGTGCAAAGGAAATACTTGTTTAAGAATGCCTTCTGTTTCCAGCTTCCGAAGAAGAGGCTCCCAAGGTTCCCAGTAGAAATTTTTGCAGCCATATTTCAGAGGTACAGCCACTTTACTGTTATTTACCTGCAATAATCAATTATTTAATATGGAGTGATGAATTACTTCTAAAGCATTCCCTTCATAGCTAACAGCATTCAAGGTTAAAGTTCAAATCACCATTACTAAAATGAGAAAGGAAGAATTCAAAGTTCTCAGAACTGATGTGCTAAAATTGGAGGCAGAGTAAATATAAATGAAAAATACACTTCATAAGTCTGAAGAATGCTTACTATTCCATAAATTAAGTGATGGTAGCAATGATGGCGTTCACACCAACTGAACAATGAGCCATCAGCCTGCCTCGCAAAGGCTTTAACTTGTTCCCAGTCAAAAGCTAAGTCCATTCCTGAGATATAAAACAAAAGGCACCAAATATGCAGTTACAAGGCTATCCAATGACTAAGGAATGATGTTGGGGAAGTAATTTTACTTATTAATGATCCTCAGTTCCTCACTAAACTCCTCATTACCTCAGTCATACACTCAAGATTGTTAATGTTATAATAACATTTTAGGGAATAGATTGAGTATGGAACGATGGAACAAGAAAATAAATATGGGTTAATACCAATATTGGTTCGTTTCCTTATCTGTAATTCTGCTGCAGCCTTTCCTAGAGCCTCCAAAGGTGCTGCCAACTGAGAGAGAAATATCCATTTTAAACACACTAGTACCAATTCATTTCCCAATAATATACATGGAGTGGAACTTATATAGATACTTATAGCCAAAATCAGCACTTAAAAGCACACATTGGAAACAGTTTAAAACACTGGCTCTTGCTAAAGTTTTACGATATCAGATTAGACATAAATACTATTTCTGTATCAAACTACTTATGTTCGTAGGAGGATTCTCTCCATGTCTTTTCCTCAATTTCAATCTTCAACTCAATTTGCCAAAAATATTGAACATATATAGATACTTAGTTATAACCGAAATCAGAACTAAAATGTGCTCATTGTAGCTTTGTATTTGGAAACAGATTAAAACACTGGTTCCTGCTCAAGTTTAACAATATTAAATCAGAAATAAACAATACTCGTATTTCTATATTAAGAAACTTAAGTTCGTATCAGGATCCGATCTCCACGTCTTTTCCTCGATTTCTATCTTCATCTCATGACACCTTAGTGCAAAAACTTAATCCTTCCCCCTTATTTGTCTACTTCATACATACTTTCACACAATTACACCCAAATGACCTCTTTCCGGCCCGGACAATCGAAGTCTGAGCTATTCATAAAGGATCATCAACAACTACAGAGTATAAACCAGTCTTAATCATAGAATAGTAAATTCTTGCTAGTAACAACCACTTTATACCCTAACTAGTTTAGGACCCGTGCCATGCACGGTCTATTAAAAAAAAAATTAAAAATTGACAAAACATACACATAATATAAAGCGTGAACAAACAAACAATTGACGTAATATAATGTTGCAATGACCACTTTATTATTGTTAATAATAAAGTATTTGTCAAGAAAAAATCATTAAAGAAATAAATTAAAATACAAAAAAATAGAGATTTAATGTTTGAATTGCACATCATGTGTTATCATTTGCGTTGCCTTTTATTTTTATCATCAATGGTAGTTGTTCTAGAAACTTGAACAATTATTATTTAATCGAGGAAGATAACAATTGAATGAGGTCGTCCTTCTACATACAATCACTGCATAAAAAGGGTAAGGATAGTATATCTTATGTAAAATTAATAAAATAATGATATAATATATGATTGAGAAATTTATTAAAAAATGATATGTCAAGATTATATAGAATATATGTATTCTTGCATTGTTTGTAAGTAATTGAACAATTTTTGGGTGTCTCTATAGAAATGTTGAAATGCTTTAGAATAAAATACACATATATATCATATATGTATCAAGGGAATGAAAATATTCTAAATTAGTGAGACATAAATACTTTTACACTTCTAAAGATACCAAATAATTTCATGATCTATATGCACGCATCACGCATCACTTTTAAGGGAATAAATATTCCTTGTTAAAGATAATAATGATATATGATTCTTTCAAAAAAAATAATATAATTATGATATATAATAAAATCATAGTAAAAATATCTCCATGATATTATTATTGTATAATAAATTTTCCTTATTTAAGTTGACCATGAAATAAGTAAGGAAGTAAATTTAAGAAATAAATAAAGTAAACTTTAAATTTACACAAAGATAAATTACGTACCTCATTATGCAAATTTTGAAACACTTCTTTGTATACTACATTGTGTGTAGTATGATATATTTTTCCTTCTTTGTCACACATATTAAAACTTTTAGTCCACTCTTCTTTGTGACTCTTGAAACCGCAACATATAGTTGACCATGACTAAATACTGGTCTTGGGAGATATAGGCCAACATGGGAAAGAGATTGACCCTGACTTTTGTTAATAGTCATTGCAAAACAGACAACTAATGGATATTGCCTTTGTTGAAATTTAAAAGGCAATTAAATTTAGATAAAAAAAAACAATAAATTAAAAAAAACATAATTATTGAAACTCCGCAAGATGCTAGCACAACTTATACATATATAAAAAATGATGACAAACATTAGATTACATACTTATTCATCTAGTAAAACCATCCCTAGAGAATGTACATCGTTTGCATTATTAAAAGATGGAATAGTCCATAAGCAGATAACCCTAGCCTGTATAGTAATATTTTCATTCGCCGGATTGATATTTTGTATAAGCTTTAAAGTTTGTGCTATTAGAAAAAAATAACGTTTAAAGTTATTTAGTGCTTGTGATTCAAAATTCGACGGATTGATTATAAGCTTTTTTATAATGACCTGTTAGGTAAGATGTTTTTGGAAAATTTGGGATAAAAATAAAAAGGTAAAGAGAATTAGAGGATATTGCATGATTTAATCATATAAGGAATGAATATCAACCATATGTAATACGAAGTATATATTATAGTGAGAATATAGTCCTGATTAGCTAAGATGTTTTTTAAGGGAATATTACATATCAACAATGGTTTACGATTTGCTAAGAATATATATATTTTTTTTAATCATATTATTTTAAATTCTTACCATTGTTGATATAGTCATGATTTGCTAAGAATTACATATCAATTGTAATACCTAGTATATATTATCTGAATATAATTAGCTAAGAATTTTATTTTTTTAAGGGAAGATTGCATATCAATTAACAATAATAATATAATTTGCTAAGATTTGTATTTTTTAAAGGGAAGTTTGCAAATCAACCTTAATATATATGAGTAGCTTGGATTTTGTTTTTTTAAGGGAAGATTAATATCAACCGTAGTAAATATGTTAGGACAGTTATAATAAGATTTATTTGGTGATTATTTAAATATATTGTATCCTTTTAATATATATTTTTTCAGATTACCGTAAGATTATATTTATTATTGATTATTATTTACATATATATATATGAAAAATATCTCCTTTTTGGAATTATATTTTTTTTTTAAAAAAAATTTTAAAAAATAAAAATATACTAAGGACACACCAGGAGATGACACGTGTCATTGCTAGTGTGTCTTTTAGTATATAGTTATTGATTAGGCTATTTTGATGCAATATTACTATATATAAGTAACATCATATTAAACAACTATATAAAATAAACAACTCTATAACCTAATTAGGCCAATTTGTAATGAAAGATAAGTAAACAACAGATCAAATCCATGTAATTAATATTTAAAATCAAGAAATAGTCATCAAACACCCTAACTTGCCTACTTTGACCAATTATATTAAAAATATATATATATAAAAACAAACGAAACACTGAAGAGACTAAATTTGACTGGTCAATTGCAAAACAAATATTCTTTCCTTTCCGATTAGATTATCACGTTACTAGTTCAAATTACACTATTAACTTGATTATTTATTCCGAACAAATTTCGTTCAAATTACACTATCAAGGCGACTATTAATTCCGAACAAATCTCATTCAAATTACATATCAATGCGACTATTAATTCCAAAAAAAGCTAGCTCCTAACCCTATTAGAAATAAATCGTAAATTTCAAGATTTGAGCAACTTACCTTAATAAACTCATGAGAAAGGCCAGGAACTTCCTCAACCATCAACCCAGTTTTCTTCAATTCTTCAACCAAAATCTCCATAACTTCATATCTGTTACCTTCATCTTCATCTTCACTTTCACCATTTTCTTCATTCTTTGTAAAAACTAAAGCAATTTCAAACACAGCTTTTTCTTCACCATTTTTACTCATTTCCAAGAATTAAAGAAACCCAATATTTTTAGCTAAAAATCAAGGGTTAATTTGGTGAAATGTTGAGTAAAATGAAAAGGGGTTTAATGGGGGTCCAAATCATGGAATAATTGGACCGAAAAAATGCATGAATTTGCGTGAAGATTGAATTGGACAATGTCGAAAAGCGTATAAATTCAGATGGGAAGAGAATTAGAGATTGGAACGGCAAAAGAATTGAATTGAATTTTAATTTGGAAAAATTAAGAAAAATGAATTACTTTTTGAAAATGAGACCTTGAAAGAAGAAGGTGGAGAGAGAAAAAGACACGTGGTGGGGCTGTACTTTAAATAGTGTAACGGCCTTTATGCCAATGCAACTGTACAGTGTCCAAACTCCAGAGTGACCATCATTTATCCAAGTCAAATGGTCAGAAACTTGGTTCCCACGCTGTAAACACTCGTTTTTTATAATACGAAGCACTCCCCAATATGGAGTATAAAGTGTGGAACATGTTGTTATATATATTTGGGTGTATCGTACACACTTAAGTATTTGTTCTTAGTTGGATGTACGGTACACTTGGTGTATATAACAAATTCTAAAAATGTAGTGTAACTAAGAAACCAATAGGTTGTCAGAGGCTCCGAGAATAGAGGTGTCCAAACTACACCCGATTGGTAAATTTTCCTCGTAAAAAAGCCATATTTGATTTGAAACTAATCCGAAAATTATCTGATTTACATGTTAACTCGCTTGGAGACAACATTTTAACATGACTCAATTTTAAAAATTGACCCAACCCGACCTCATCGAACTCGATCCGAACATTCGAATTGACACCTCTATCCAAGAGCCCCTATGGAGGTTGTGCAAATGCACGATTGTTATGAATATGTAACATGGAATAGACACAAAGATTTTAGGGAAATATTTTTGTACCCGTGAAGTTTTAAAAAATGCACCGTGTACTCCTGTAAACTTTCAAATGCACCATGTGCTCTCGAGGTTTGTTAAAATATGCACCAAATAACTCACTTTCGGGTTGGATGACTTTGGAGCGGGTTGATTTCATTTCATTTAAGTTCTATTTAGTTTGATTAGGAAAATGTTGATTCAATATTAGGTCAATTCCAATTCAGATTCTTTTTGGATTTTAGGATTGATCAAATTTAATAATCAAATAAGATCATTTTTATAAAAAATTAATTATTGAGTTATTATCTTATTATTGGGTCACTATATGGTCATTCGTGTGTCATTTTTCATATTGTGTCATTAACACTTGTTAGTTATCTCATTAAATTAGTTCTTGTATCAATTTTATCTTTAAGCCAAAGTAAAATCAAATTATCGATGATTTATGAAAGCTACATAAAGTTAGATGATATATGTTGATATATAGATGATAGATCCACATATGGTCGGATTATGATTTATTTATTTTTATTTATTTATTTATTTTTTGGTCAAGAATTACCTACTAAAACCACTTTTGGAAATTAAAATAAGGGTCTGTTCTGATTTACTAAACTAAGCTGAACAGAACTGATTGGAGCTGATGAACTGAATTGAACTGAATATTTTATGAGAGAAGAAAATTAGGAACTGAACTAAACTGATTGGAGCTGAACTAAATTGAACTAAAATAAGTTGAAGAGAATAGCCCCTAACTACCTTTTAAAAAAAAAAATTCCCCAAAAAATCTACCCTAAGAACCCAAAAATTTAGTAACACTACACATTTTGTCCGGAATATATGCGAGACCAACTTTATCTATATCTTAAAGGAAATCCCTCCTAAAATATGCTTGATGTGATACAAACCCTAGTCTCATGTTTGAAAGTCGGAGAACTAGCCAACTAATTTAACCTCCTATCTCATGTAAAATATTGTTAACAAAGCAAATTATCACATTCAATAAATACGAGAAAAATGTATACCCCCTCTATCCCTAATTCTTTGCTCCATTGTACAAAAATATGGGTCAAACTTTAAGATCTTTGACCGGCCATAAAATACTCTTAATCGATAAGAGCTAATAAAACTATGTGTGGGATTCAATTGGATTTGACTCACTATATATATTTTTTATTTTTTTTATTAATATCTAGTTATTATAATTTGTACACATACATATAAAAATAAAGATATAATCGTTTGAAGAAACGTCTTTAAAATCATAAAATGTCAAATGGGACAAAATATCAGGGAAGGAAGGAGTACTCCGTAGCGCACCACCAACATATTTAAACAGTTTGACTTTTTTTTAATACAATTTGACTTTTTTTTAGCTGCGAAAGATCAAATGAGTTAAGTGCTACACTTACAAAATGCGAATTGCGAACATATTTATACAATTTGACTTTTTTTAAGTTGAAAAGCGCACCGCCGAGGCTTACAATTGAACGGATTCCCAATTTCTACAAGCTTAAGATTACATGCTTCATATAAATGGTACTCCGAATTAGATGCTTGATATTATGGTTTATAACTTTATTCTAACTACTAAGATTTTTATGGCTAGTTAGTTAGTAGACATGGGCTGATGGCCAACAAATATTGATCACAAAGTAGAAATATTATTAAAGTTAGACACATATTTATATTTTTAACCTTCAAATTTTCATCCATCTTGTTTTATTTGATACTTAATATGTTTCTTCTTTTAATCTCAACATTTAAATTTATATCATATTCAATAACTTTAATTATATAATCGGTTTTTTTAGTGAACTACTCAGTTCACCTTTTGAATCAGTCTGAATTCTCGATGGTACTCATTTGATATAATTAATTTCTCAATATATGTACTTATATCTTAATTAGTTTAGTTACTTTTTGAACCATTCAACCAAACAAAGCAAAGAACTCAAAGTCACAAAGCAAATTTATTAGCACAATAATTTAGCAACAACAATAAAACATGATGAGATAATCAATGAGATTACAACCAATATTCCCACTAATAAAAGAATACAAATGAGGAGAGATTTCAAAGAATTTAAGCTTTATAGCAACACATCGATATTCTATGTAAACTTGTCCATTTGAGTGTAATTGAGTTATCTTGTAATCAAACGTCGCTAATCCCAATTATCATTTCCTCTTGAACATCTACAAAAATCAGATCTTTTCGTAAACTACATGAGTTGATTGTAAGAGTAAAAAAAGAAGATAGTGAATTTATTGAACAACGAAGAATAATATCAATATTACGTACCTTGTACATATGATGAGTCGATTGCTAAATTCGGACATTGTAGGCTTTCTTGTGAACAATGGTAATCTTCAAATTCATTCCACAGCTTAGAAATCAAAAGTTGGTCCAACTTTTGATTAAAGGACATTAATATAGAGTTAATTACATTGATTTGGTCAATTAATTTATGTAATTCTCCTTCCACAAATTGTTGTTCTATTATATGTCTATAAGATTGAACTTTGAGGTCGTTTACCTCATTTTTTGAGGACTCTAGCAAAGTTTTATTTGACTCTAGTTCACGATTGGCTAATGAAAGTTGATTTTGTATTGTTTGTAATTCTATTTCCATCGTCCTACTTTCTCTCTTAGAATTGGAAAGCAATTCCTCGAGATCTTTAACATAGTTTTTTGACGACTCTAGTTCATTTTTAGTTGAATTCAACTCGAGGCTAATTAAAGAGTGTTCATCTTCTACCTTCCTTAATTTACTTTCGAGTTCTTGAGTTTCCTTCTCGCAAGAAGTAAGTTGAAACTTTAGCTCTTTTATACATTTAGTTGAGGATTCTATCTCGATTTTAGAAGATTGTAACTCCCAATTAACAGAAGAAAGTTGATCTTATAACTTTTGTAACTCTATTTGCATG